ATAGTTGGAATACCAAGTAAAATTACATCTTGGTAATAACGATAGAGGTAATTTTACTTGGTATTCTAACCACTGAGTAAAGATTACTAATATTTATTAATAAATAACTGACGGATAAACCTACCAAGAAGTTGGAACAACCGGCCCTAAGGTTGACGTGTAAACGTCACAGATGTCTATACTAGTACTAGATCGCTAACTTCGTCAAAAGAGCTGAGGCCGGCAAGATTTCCGGTTTCGGCCATGACACCCTACAACAAAATGGCGACAATGCGTGTGTAATGTGTATAGGCTCTCACACACAAAATGACATAACTGCATATGCATTGCATAAGACCGTCTCGACCAATGAACATTTAGCATAAAGGTGCCATATTGATTTACATAGCATGTTCATTGGTCGAGACGGTCTTATGCTATGCATGTGCAGTTATGTCATTTTGTGTGTGATGGCCTTATATCTGTACGTGGGTATGCACATGTGATACCCGGCGTGGTGATACAAATTGATAATATTGTAAAAATTCTTGAAAAATGCCGAGCAGTTGTTGAGCAGTTGTTGAGCGGCCATTTTGTTGTAGGGTGTCATGGCCGAAACCGGAAATCCTGCCAGCCTCAGTTTTTCCATACGTCAAAGCCTAAAGTTAGCGATCTAGTACTAGTATAGACATCTGTGGTAAACGTAGTCAGCGATGTAATTAGTAATATTTTTAGTTTATAAATGCATTAATATATTTTTTCATATTTTTATATTATTAGAAATTGTTTGCAAATTATCAAAAATATATTTTGTTTTATGAATACTGGTAAGGTTTTGAGCACTTTTCTTTGCAACAAATGTCGGTATTCTTTACAATTTGTGCCAAATAAAATATTTATTTTTATTTACATAAAAATGCGTTGAAATCATTATTTCAACATCTTCTACCCTTTTTCAGTTTATCTATCATATACCTCAGCTTATCTTTTAAAATATATTACATAATTGTTTTACATTTTATAATTACATCTTTAATGTATAGAGATATGTAAATATACTTTATTCTTTTATTGATTTTTCAAGAAATAATAATTAATTTTTTTTAATAAACGGGTACCATATACAGCATACCTTTTTGGGAGCTTTCCATCTAGGAGACACAGATCGACACTGTGTGACACGGTCAAACACCGTGCTTAGATATTTGATGGAACGCGTTTAGTTCTGAACTAGATCGCTAGAGTCTGCTTATGTTTTCCCATGATATATAGTAAGTTCAATTAATTGAAAAATTGGCGTACCAGGAGCATATTGGCATATTTAAAGTACGTACAAATCAACATAACCATCATTTATTATTGTTTACGATCGCGATGAGTATAAATATATTTTGCAACTGAATAAAATGAAAATTCTCTAGAATACCATCCCAAAAATTGGCAGCCATGAACTAGACTCTATTAGCGTTTTCGAATAAACGGGGTTTGAACGATCTAGGGTTGTTCAATCACTATTTTACTATAAATGCAAGTCTTTCATTGGTGGAGAGGTTGCAATGACGTCATTAACCAATCTTGGGTCGTTCAAATCCTGTATAATCGAAAACGCTATATGTTCGACTATGCTCTTCTGCTACGTCGAATCGTGCCGTGGCGTGTCATTGTTGGAAAGCACCGTGTCTGACACCGTGTCGATGGGTGTTTACGATAATTCAAGTTCGAGTTAGTTTCACTAGGACCAAAAAATAAGATAGACATAACCATCTAGAACCTTTATGATTTATGCTAACTCGACGCTGTCTTGTATTGCTTGAGTTAAATTCATTGAATTTGTTGAGTTTATTGAGCAAATTTTATTGTAATAGAAAATGTCATTTATTATTATTATTAATTATATTATTATTATAAATTATATTATATTTATATTATTATTATATTATATTATTATATTATATTATATTATATTATTATTATATT